ACGAAGGACGCCACCATCGACTCCACAGACGCCCAGCGCCAAGAGTGGTTCGCCCAGTACTTTTCCTTCTGACTGACCACAAGCTTCCAGACTGGAGGATTCAGCATGTCGACCAAACTTCAAATAAAAAATAAAGAAAAAAAAGAAAATAAAAGAAGCAGAAACTAATGTTGAAACTATTTGTTATTTATTGTCATGAAAGGTTTGGGGCTCAGTTTGTTTTGGATTCAGTCAAGCGAAGCTGGAACTCGTGGTTGGAAGAACAAAGCTCATCGACTCGTCGGTGAAACGCACACAACATGATGTCATTCGTATTTCAGACGAGTCACTTCCTGTCGTTTGACTGAGAGGAAACCAAACTGAAGCCGAAGCCGAGGTCATCGTTCATCACTGATCGAGTTTTGATTGTTTGGCTGTGGTCGAGTTTCTGTCTGGTGACGACGACCATCAGTTTGTTCCTTTGGTTTCTTTCATCACTTCTGTTGTCGTTTCTTTGGAAGCAGGAAGTAAAGGAGCTGCGTCCTCATGCTGCTACAGTCTCAACTAAGTGTCTATAAAGAAATAATCCGTAGRTTTTTTGTGCTCGCTCTCTGTACGTGGGTTCACAGCACACAGCGTCTTAGACCAGGAGGGCTGATCTGAGACCAGTTTACCTCCTCATTCATCTCTGTGGATCTGGTCCCAGACCAGTTCGGCTCCTCTGATAGGCTCTGGTTTTAGGGCGACGCCTTCGGCGCCGGTCCGTTTCAGCAGATTTTGGTAGAAAACTTAAAACCTGTTTGTATGGTCGTCTGTCTCAACACAGATTAATGATGTCTCACCGATTTTAAAAACAAAAATAGCATTTTATATTTATAATATAACGTGGATATGCTTAATAAAGAATTATTGTGACATTTATCTACGTTTAGTTGTCTGTTCTTTTCCACAAAACTTACAAGTTTATGTTAAATGTTTGACTTTTATTGTGTTAATCTGCCCTGATACACACTGGTGTTAAAATGTAACAATTTCATTTTTAATCCCACCACGAAAACCTTTGAAATGTTTTTAAAATTCATCAGAAACTTACATTTAAAGGCCCTTTGAAGAACTGTTTTTAGACAAAAATATCACCATGAAAATAATTAAAATAAACCATAAATTATACACAGATAAGTGTGGACAGATCTGAAATAATCTATAATAATCTGTCACAGCTTTAACAAAAAATGTTAAAAAAATGAATTTCAGTGGGATTTTGAAGTTTAATCTTATTTTCCTTTACAAATTATTTCATTTAACATTTTTCTGAAATTATCATATCAGCAAAATAGAAAAACAAATCATCAGAATTATATAAATAATGTCAACTAATAAAACTCAATGTTGTTTTTAATAAGTAAATATTAAGTAAAGTTGAAAAATGTGATAAAATTATTTACATTTAAAAAACAATATATTTAATTCTTTAAGTTTCTGATATGAAATGATTGTAAACAAAAAGGCAGTGTTGTATAAAGTACCTCAAAGTGATACTTGAAAGTACAAGTACCTTGTCATCAAAATACTTTGGTAAAAGTTAAAGTCTTCTCTAAAAACAGTACTTAAGTAAAAGTCTTAAAGTATCTGACATGTTTTGTACTTAAGTATCAAAATTAAATTTCTGACACAAAATCTACTTAAGTATTAAAAGTAAAAGTACTGAGTAAAACTGAGCAGTTATGACATTTATTGGGAGGTGACTTCTCCAAAAACTATATTTTCTAACAGCGTGCAGCTGTGATGGGTTGTGTACAAAGTAATACAGTATCAGAATGGTATATATTTATACTTCTCATCCAAACACAATTAAATTCACTCTATCCAGGAGACACAGTTTATCACTATAGTTTTAAAGTAATAAATTGGAATAAAACAGGAGTAACAACTTTATACTTCTTACCTTTTTTAAAAAATGTAGTGAGTAGAAAGTACAGATAATTGTGTAAAAATGTAGTGAGTAAAAGTAAAAAGTAKGCTGAAAAATAAATACTCAAGTAAAGTWCAGATAACCAAAATTTCTATTTAAGTACAGCAACAAAGTATTTGTACTTATTTACTTTAAAACTCTGTAAAAACGTGTTTTATAGACTTTTCTCAGTGTTGTTTCGTGGTGCAGTTACACAACTCGCCGCTGGGGGCGGTGTTGCGGATCGGTCATTGTTCGAACCCGGAACATAAACAAAGCAGGATCGCTTCCGGTTCAGTCTGAGGATGGCGGCTCCGGTTGCAGGTTCTCCAGGCCGGCTGGTCCAGTACATCGTGGTCCGTTCGGATCTGGTCCACGAGCTGTCGTGGCCCCTTGGAGCCGTGATCACGCAGGCCTGCCACGCCGCTACCGCCGCCGTCCACCTGCACTACGGAGACCCGGACACCCAGCGGTACCTGTCGGAGCTGGACTCCATGCACAAGGTGGTGCTGGCGGTAAGGTTGTGTACATCGAGTTTATTTGTGTTGTGTTTTTAAGGTGCTTACAGCCTTTATTTAAGCGGTTGTTTCCGGCCTCCAGGCCCCGGATGAAGCCGCCCTCTCCGGGCTCTCGGAGCGCCTCAGCCAGGCCGGTGTGGCCCACAAAGTGTGGGTGGAGCAGCCGGAGAACATCCCGACCTGCCTGGCCCTGAAGCCCTGCTCCAAACACACCGTCCGGCCGCTGCTCAGCAACTTCAAACTGTTCAAGTGAAAAACGTTTCCTCCCACAGAGGACTGATGTTTATTTTTATTTACACAACTTTTATCAGGTTTCACAGTGAAAACAGCAAAAACCGCTGCTGCTGCTGTTATTTACAAGATTAAAAGCAATGATTCAATTTAATTATCTGTTTGTTTCTTTGTTTGTTTGTTTCTTTGTTTGTTTGCTGAAGGAGATAAATTTATTCATTACAGCCTATTTTACAGGAATTAAATATAAAACTGTTGAGTCATCCACAACACAAACTGTGAGCTCTAATTTAAATATCTCATGAAGCATGAAATAAAAACAGTTAAATATTTACAGCTGATTAAAATGTGTGGTAATTTATAACAAAAATGTACAAAAGAAAACCAAATTTAACACCAGTTGAGTGTTTCTGTATATATA